AGATGCGCTCCACCGTCAGCAAGGCAAAAGGGCGCCAACCAGCAAATTTGAAATCACATCGCTACTTGAGTAGCAATAAAAATTAAGGTCAATCTGCTTTTACACAAGGTGTAACGTACAAGGGGGGGGGTCGTAACAAATCAACCATGAAGGGGGGGGGGTCGTAAAAAATTTTCGAAGAGTCACAACGATAGGGTTGACCCTGGTCCTTCATCTATTCTATACAATCCGAGCTCTACGGGTTTGACCCTCATTCCGACATCCATGCACACTGCTCTCAGGATCAGCTCCACGGTGACAATGTATTACTTCGAAAAATTGGGTTGTTTCCCTAACTGTTTCGCCATTTTAGCTTTCCGCGATTGCCAGAAGTTGGCATAATAATAAGTGATGTTCATGATGCGGGGCAATGTCAAAAAAAAAATAATAACGTTTCAAACATTAAATTGGGCCTTTGTCCGGGCGGTGCACAGGAATACGAGACACTGGATACAGATGTGAGAATAGACCGTATGCGGAGGCAGGATGCGAGAGCGAGCGCAGTCAGCCTCAGTCCTCCTGTCTTGCATCCGCCTATGTGAGTGCATACTAGGTAAAGCTTGCTAAGTGCCTGAAGTATTAGATTAGGAAACCAGCTTCCATTGGTGGCAGCGTTGATTGCACGGACTAATACGAAGCCAGGAAATGCTTAAACAAAGGAAAACTGGGAAAAAAATTGGGGAAACCTTGTGAAATTGGAGCAGGACTGTGAAAAAGCTGTGGAAAAAGTAATCAAGCACCATACGCGTATCTCTGCGACACTAAAACATGAACGATAAAGGATGTAAAAGTCAGCTCTAACCCCATCAAAGCCCTAGGCACTTCGAATCCTTATATCTTGCGAAATGGTTGTAACAACTCTTCTATGCTAAAGTGCTTGCTAACAAAACAGGGGGTCAAAATTAACATTCCAAAATTCAACTAATTAAGCAACTGGGACCGGGTTGAAACGGTCTGAAACTGCTGTGCGCACGAAAGAAGACCAGACAACCAAGGGCAGAAGAATGGCGGAGTCCGCAGCTTCTCCCTTTTTTCGCTAGCTCAACTGAAGGAAGCGGAAACGTTAGCTGAATGCGAGGAGCTGCGCGAAATTTCTCTGAAGTTCTATCGATCGCTCACCTAGGTCGTGTTAGCAGTGTCCATCGTCCAACCAGCCGGGAACCGGTCTGGCGCCACCCGCCGCGGATGCGTTCAACTGTTGCCTGGGGTGACAAGCTGGACATGGCGGCCAGAAGACTGCTGGGATGGCATCATTCGTTTACGGGAGTTTTGTGAATTAAAAACACTTTTAAGAAGTTTTCTTGACACAAACTTGGGCTCTGGAAAACCCGATTTGTTCCACGTAGTGATTTCTGGGGGGAATTAGGCTAGGTCCACTGCATGCGGATACCAGTGACCCCCGTAGCTGTTATGGCAGTGGTGAGGCGCCTCCGCTACAATGGCAACATCTATGGATTCGTTACACACCAGGCTTGCGCCTCCTTTTGAACAGGAATTACTCTTAAATCCGAAACGGAAGACCGGTCAAATACCCGGAGCTGAGATTTGTTACATCATTGTCCCTACAGGTCATTGTAAGAACCAACCTTCACGCATTCAAAGCAATTAACGTTCTTGATGAAGTAGAAGCCGGCTGGCCGGCCCGGTTTGGGATCGGTTTACGCTAGTATGTTGTTTCGCTTCAATATTTATGTGAATTCAGGATTCCTCTTATTCAGACGCTGCATCCTATGCTATTTGAAGGTCCTAACGGGCCAACAAATGGGCCACTTTTGACGACTTGAGGAGCACGAAGCAGCCGTAACAGCGATCAGTTCGTCTCCGAATCGATCCTTTATTGACAATTGTTCAATCCTCGAAATGCATAATACACATAAGTCGTATGCCGACTACAATATTTGATGACCACTTCTCAACAGGCAAGTCGTTATTCACAGAGGATTATACGTAACTCTCAATGAATAGAAAGTATTATGCTTTTATGAAATAGTGGGTGAACCTATAGTATAGGGAGCGCTAATTTGATTGATACATTTGAACTGCAGAGAATACCGTCGCCTGTGCCACTTAACAGATACATCTGAGGGGCTTAAAGGCAGTGGCACACTAGGTGAGGGAGTGTAGGGTCAAAGACCCCTATACTACCTCACGCATTTTTATTTGATTCATTGACGACCGTCTTGTTTATTGCGCGAAAGTGCGGCTTTTTTTCCTATACTTCGTATAACTTCATATATGAATTTCGGTGAAACTCCAGTTCGGGGGGCCACTCCATTTTTTCTCCAATACTCAAGATAAGGATTAGAGGGCTCACGACACGTAATCGACTCATTTAAAGTAGACTTCTGATAAATATTGGTGTAATGGGTGAGAAACCCTGAAACGTTTTCATTTCCGCCTGCCATGACCCAAGGGAACGGTCCTGGACGGAGAAAGGACACCTTCGCAAGGCCTAAGGTGCAGGAGCTCCGGTGGCGTCATATGCAGAGAAAATGGAAGGGGATGTGGGCAGGTAGTGTGGAATGTAGGACATCCACCGGTCCTTATCAAAAGTACGCTCGAAATGAGTCGTTCACTTATTATCTTATCCGTAGTGTTCGATAGCCCAAAGAACTGCTCTCTAGTACTACGGATAAGATAGCAATGGAGTGGCCCCCCCGAACTGGAGTTTCACACTGCTTGTTGGACACCGAGTGTGGATTATTGCAGATTTTATTTTAAGACTTTTTTCTCCTTACATTTTTCAGTGTTTTTTCACGCCTTATGTGCTGTTACATGGTTTTTCCATGGATCATACTGATTTTGGCGCGCCCAGTATTCTTCAAATAATATGTTAATAAATAAATAATAAATATCCTTCAGGATTTCGATCAGAGATGAACAATTGCTTCTCGGACACAAAAAGGTGCTATAGACGCGGGTTCGAAAGCAAAACAGACGTTTGACAATAGGATAGACACATCGTCGGCTCACTGTTAAAAAGCTAAATCTTTTTGTACTCTCGAATGCTCAGGATTGCCAAACGCTTTCCACATTGATCAACGAGGCCGCAGTTATCGCCCATATTGGGGTGGATGGGGGTAGCAGTAGCGATGGTGTTGAGTTTACGTATCTTTTCACAAGCACAACTTCACATCGCCACAGAATTGTATTTTTTAGGGGCGGAACCTGTATAAAGGTAGTTAAGGGCAATAAAGCAGGGCGAAGAAATCACTCGTAACGAAGAAAAAGCGCCACTTTGATGCATGCCTACTACCTAAGAGTAAGGGCAACAATGGGACATTGGAACGATCTAAACTCTTTCTCATAAAGAACCAGTAATGGGGGTCTGTAGGATGTACGTGCCGTTCGGGTATTGGGTTTCGTATTTCCATATTCGCGGAATGTATGATACTATTACATTTAGCTTTTTACCCTTGCACAATTGCAAGACGGTATGAAACAAGAATGAGATAACCCGAGGACCCAACACAAGTGGAGCAGAACACCGCAATCTTAGCCTAACTCCTACATGCGGCAATTAGTACATCGGAATGCGGTCCCAAACAATGGTTAACGTTTAGGCTACAATGCAACCATGTAGGGGCAGCTTTGTTTGCGAATTTATTAGGCTGAGCCATAAGTCCTTGGAAAATTTTGTGCCTAAACTGTAGCACCACGGAAAGTAAAACAAGAGTAGCAAATCATTTGAAACATGCTCCATTAATATCGATCTTCTCTTGCCAACATGTGGGTGGGTTGAGAACGCCTTTCTTCCAGGACAGGCAGCTGGGCCTTGAATAATCCAACGCGTGCTTTTCCGACGTCGTCGCGAGTTTTGAAGTTCTGACCTTCTGGGTAGCGTTGAAAGTCAGAAGATAGATGGGTTCGCAGAGCACGAGATTTATAGAGTAGGGAAAATGAGAAGTATAATCTGCTATAGCAGCTCTCTGTCGCCCTGCACTAAAAGGTCTGGCAATATCATGGTGGAGGCGAACATTGGCTTGCTATTCCCACCTGTTTAGGAGATAGACCTTCAGTTTCCGCACACAAGCAACTCAGATGTCAGTGATTTGTACCATCTCTCTTCAGTGGGTTCCAATTCTATGCAAAAAATAGTCCACCAGATGCATTGCTCCGTGGCGGCGATCGCTGGAGTATAAGACCCTCTACTCATACCCAGTAATTTAAGTGTCGCGCCAAGCGTGTGTGCTTTTAAGGGTAGTGAAAAACAGCAACACCATGACCCTCAGATTCATGTCACGCCGTCTTAATGCATGTGGTACTCATTGGCCAAGTTTTTACCTTGCCAACTGACTTCAAACCGCGGACCGTTGTGGGTTGGCCAACACCAAGAATTGCAGACAGCACGCGAGTGGTTTGACTCGGTTTCGTCTCCATCAGCTTGTATGGTATGTCCCAGTCTTAGCGCTCTGTACAATATCATTACCGATGGAGCAAACGTCTCCCTTGAACCTGGCAAACCAAGAGTAGACTGTGCTATGAGCAATTCATTCTCCTTATGGGTTTTCTGCCGGCAGAGATTGTACTAATCAGGTTTAACACCAGAGAATAAGCATATCATTGTGTCGAGGTGTGGTAGTGTGGAGGGCATCAATTTCGGAAGCATATCAGCAATAGGTACCGCATTTAAGTGATGGTTGGGATTGTTCTACGAAGCGTTTCCTCCTCTATCGAACGTTTTTTCGACTTACCCTGCTGACGTCATTACTGGCGAAAAAAATAATTCTGAATAAGGGCCATGAAAGTCCGAGGACTTACGACTCAACCTTATACATGATAACTGACTTATTGAAACTTTTACAGAGGTCTCAAGCGGTCGTAAAACCCAAAACTGCGCGAGTTTCCGATGTTAAACAAAGTAAGAATGCACTTTTCATGAAGCTGGTAGTAGTCGATTACTATGAATCAGTAAAGGTTGGGACAGAGTACTCTATAAGACACTGCTGTTGGAACGACCCCTATTTAGCTCTTCCAGAAAATCGTCGATGCATCTCATCCTCATCTAGCACGACACTAATATTGGGCAGTATGTTTGGATCCATGCTGATGAAGTCGTTGATGTTGTTCAAACCATTCTTCGAAATCGGTTCCCAGTCCGGAGGTGGTGCTATCCATTCTCCATTTTCATCTTTCATATGTGATCGGTCACTCGAGAAATGAGTCAAGTACTCAACGCATGGGATGACACGAAAACATCTTAAGCTTTTGGAAAATTAAACTTTGACAACCAAATAAAACCAGAAGGGTCACCTGCTGAACTGAGGCGGAATGTTCCAGTCTTGCGGCCGAATGCTTCCAATCCAATAGTCGTGAAAGCTACACGGAAACGTTAGAACAGTGTCCAAGTCCCAGACCCGAGAGTTACCTTGGTGTAGTTGTTCCACCAGGATAACGTGGTAATCCCATACCACAAAAGGTCTAAATCCAGCTGTCATTCACTAGCATTTCATAAAATCGTTTTGAATGAGTGTAAACTGGTTCAAACCGTTTAAAATGAAATCCAGTCGATTACTCGATTAGTCGATAATAAAACTTGAGCT